CAGTTTGGGATAATGGCCACATTTTTAGTTTTAAACTATATAGAAGTCTGACTCTGATCAGCCATTTTGTGCCAAGCTCTGTAGAGAACCTTCGGAGAACCTCAAGCCATCACTTCCAGCTGAACTGTGAATAGCATTTGAGGATTGGTATTTCTATTTGCTACCTGGAATTGGAGAGGAAGTTACCCAGAACCCCACCGTGTTCTCTCGTAAAGGAATCCAAAGAGTCTTCAAGTCCTGGTAGAACCAGTAAAGAAACAGGCACCTTACTTGTTCCCTGAGCTGCTATACCAACTGAGTCCATCAACAAACAAAAAAATCTAACTATTCGACAGCAGAAGCCATTTCAACTGATGAATCTGACTTGACAGTTTAACCCTTTCACTTTAGGAAGATTACCTCCAAGCAGGTCAGGCCTACAGCAATATACAGACTGATCTTATTTTCATCTTCATAGGTACCCTTACTTAAAATCTTTGTATTTTAGCTAAAAATTTAATCACTTTTTAACTTAAGGAACATTCAGCAAACTTTTGTTTCATAAAGCTGCGCTATTTGTTTTTAAAATTAAACACAAAAACTAAAATGGGGCTATGTACCGGGTTACACAAATTCTTACTTCACAAACTACTCTGACCACATACCTAGTGTGCGATCATGACATCTGCTAAATGTTGTCACCCTACAATTACACCTTTCATTGGCTTTACCAACTTTGCCTTCTACTTCCACTGTGATCAGTCCCCTAATAGTGCGTGGCTGTCTTGTTTTCCAGCTGATAAACTCTCCATGCTCTCGGCAGCATCACTGTAATTGTAATGTCTATTGTTATAATATAAACACAGAGGCCAATAACAATTTTGCTCCTGTGTCACAGTTGTTGTTAACTTTTTTCTGAGATACTTTGAAAGGTATTAGAATGGCCACCCCCACCTTAATGGATTTGTATTCAAGTTCTTTCCCCATAGAAATCAGAATACAAGGTCATTTCTCCCAATCAAGATGTTTTTCAGGAATTCACCTTACGCCTGAAACCTCATCTCTCACTTTTCAGCACATTCTATCTTGCCTTATGATAAATGGGTTATTTTAAACATAAGCACTTGGTAAACTTCAGCATTCATGAAACTATCTAGTTCATGATCCAAAATGCAGTTTGTGCAAAGTTTTTTTTTAAAAATGAAGTCAGCCCTATTTTCCAAGCACCCTCAGTTCTCCAGATACAGTTCTTTATTGTGTCAACCCTGCTTTTCTAAGGTATCTACTACATACTTCTCAGGCACCTTTTCCACTATTTCATAGTTTTCTTGCTGTGTCTAATGAACTTCCTAATACAGGCCCTGGCACAATGATGTTTATTTGCTAAAAGAACTTCTGAAAGATGCACCAAACAGTCTTGAATTTAAAACATTAGAATGGCTGTATCAAAGTATACCACCTGACCTATCCAGACACCTTATATCGCTTTGACATTCTAATATGGCCTCTGATTATTGTGATGGATGCAGAAATCTAAAAACGCCTGTCCATAAATCTCTAGGACTATATTCCTAACATAATCTTCCAATTGACAGCATCCTCCAATGCTGACCTCACCGAGAGGCTGCACAGCAAGAAGGTAACTCATTTCCAAGGAATAAAAATGTAATTGCATCAGAGGCAGTTCAGAGAAGGTTCAACAGCTTAATTTTTGAGATAAAGTCTTAGGAGGAGAGATCAAGCAGTTTAGGCCTATACTCACTATACACACATGAAACGAGGTCTAATTGAGTATACAATAGCTAAAGGCAATTGGTAAAGTAGATGTAGAGCAGATGTTTCCTTTTGTGGGGCAATCTAGAATGAGAGGTCATAGTTTTAGGCTAATGGATGGCAAATTTAAAACAGAGGAGGAGGAATGACTTCTTTCAAAGGGTCATGAATCTATGGAAGTCACTAGTCCAGCCATGATAGTGTTGAACGGCAGAGCAGCTTCAAGGGGTTGAATTGCCTACTCCTGCTCTTTGTTCTTATGGTTAGGGAGGCCCAAATATCACTTCAAACCTATGTCCAGTACTTGCCTACCAGAATTTACAGAAACCTTGACCATAAATAGCAAAGTTTATTTTGTTGATTTGATTAACTTAATTAAAACAGTTAAAATCTTTAGTCAGAATGTCAAAAATTGACCCTAGTCTGTGCAACATCACAGGTGATCTTTTATTATAATAAAATCATTATACAATATATAAAGTTGTTTGTGAAAAACTGGCCTGTGCTTTGGTGACCATTCTCACCATCCACAGTGCTTTATCCAGTTTCCTCTCCTGTGCACATCAATTCCAAGGATTGGATCCTGAATCCTACCCCTGAAGGACACCATTCATTAGACCTGAACTGGTCCTTTTAAAAAGAGCTACTCAACTATTGCCAATCTTGCCTCTTTAATTACGCAATTGCAAATCTTCCTCTTCTTGTGGAAGAATCATCTTTTCCAGAAGATTACTGACTATCTCTGCAAGCTCCCATATCTATGATGACAACTTCAGGCTGATTGGTTACCTCAGAACCAAATCACCTCTCCCCACTACCTTATAAAAGACATTTTGCCATTCATGTACTCTCTCAGTATTCCATTATCATTTGTCATTAATGTCAAAATCCAATGCTTTCCTTATGCTCCAGACAGAATTACATGCACAACAAGTTAATTTAGCCAACAGATATATATTGCTAATTCTGTAGTTCTGTGACCAGGACAAACCAACTAAAACTTAAGTTTAATTGTGAAGATGATATAGTAAAATCAATATTGATTCTATTTGTGAATGGAACAACATTGAGAACTATATATTTACATTGGCCTTCTGGAAACTCTGGCTCCCGGAACTGTGCAGCTTGAGCCCCAAATGAGCATCATCTCCCCCTCCCTCCATCCTCTTCCTTCTCATTCACCCTCTCCCTCACTTTCTCCTTTTCCATTGCTTCGCTCTTCGCTCCTCACTTCCTCCTATTCCCTCCTCCGCAGCCGCTGCTGTTCCTGCTCCCGCCCTTTTAATGCTCCGCCTCCATTGGCCGATGAGTTGCTACCCGGAGCAGGCGAAAGCTTCCTATTGGTCTAAAGAATAAAATGGAACGAAAGGTGTAAGAAACAATATGCGGAGGGCGCGAGGAGAGAAAAACACAGCAACCAGAGAGAGAAAGGGATGAAAGTCAGAGAAAAACAGCAACACGAGAGAGAGAAGGTGAAAGTCAGAGAGAA